GGCTAGTCAAATGGTCTATTTCATATTAGTGAGTGGTGATAACTTGTACTCTTCAAGGAATTGGTCCATTTCATGTAAGTTGTTGATTTTATGCAAGTTGTTGATTTTATGCATATAGCCTTGTTTGTAGGATTCCTTTATTGTCCTTTTGATGTCTGCAGGATCGATAGTGAAATCTTGTTTCATATATTGTTAATAATGTGTTTCCTCTCTTTGTCAGTCTTGCTAAAGTTTTGTCAATTTTGTCAATCTTTTCAACAATCAGGATTTTGTTTCATTTAATCTATTTTTCTGTTTTCAGTTTGATTTCTTATTTTTTGCTTCTTTCTGCTTGCTTTGGGTACATTTGCTCTTTTCAAGTTTCCTAAGGTTAGGACTTAACATTAATTTGAGGCTGTTTCTTTTACTAATGTAAACATTAAATGCTATAAATTTCACTGTTATAGCTGCATCACACAAAATTTGATCTGTGGCATTTTCATTATCATGTAGCTCAATACATTTTTTAAAAAAATTCCCTTAGAGACTTCTTGTTTGACCTATGGATTATTTAGAAGTGTGTTAATAACCATTCTTTCTTCTGAAAAGTTACCACTATATTGACTTCCAAAAGGTCTTTTACTTGCTTTGATCTTTAAGCAAATCGAATCCTGAACTATGTAATACTTTGTGTTTGATATTTTTGTTCAACATTAATCCATTCTATTATTGATGAGCATTTGGATTTGGAATTTTAGATTTTTTCAGTTGGGGTTTGGAATACTGATTCTATGGATATCTTGTTTTATGTTAAACATATGTACTAATTTTCAGGCTACAAACCTAGGAATGGAGTTTCTAGTGTTGGCTATTCTTAAACTGTTATCCCAAGTGGCTTTAGCAATTTATATATTTTATATGCTGGGCATGTAAGTTACAGGTTCTCTACATGATCCAAAAGAGTTGATATTATCATTCTTTTAATTTTTTTTTTTTTTTGCCATTCAGTAGGGTGGGTAGTGTTATGTTTTATTCAACCTATACTCTGATATTTTTGTCTGCTTTTTCCATCAGTTATTAAGAAAAGTTGCTAAAATTTTCCCAGTATAATGGATGGTCTGTCTATTCATCATTTTAGTGCTTTCCACCTTTTCTTTATGTATTTTAATGATATGTCATTATTTACTTACAAATCTAGAATTATATCTTCCTGGTGGATTGACGATGTTGATGAAATTTCCTCTTCATCTCAAGAATTTTTCTTGCTTTAATATTTACCCTAATACTAGTTTGTCTACCTCTGTTCTATTTCTTTTCTTTCCTTTCTTGCTTTCTTTTGGACTTCTCATATTATGTAAGTTATAAACTATTAGGCTGTTATACAGTCTTTAATTATTCTTTTAGTGATTACCTTAGAGATAACAGCATGCACCCTCCTTCTACTTATTAAGCGCTGTTATAAATCAGTTCTTTAAGGCAAGGATCCTAGAACACTTTAACTCCATTTATCACCTGTCTTGTGCTATTTCAGTCCCCTTTTAAATGTTTTAATATGCCTAGAAGTTATTGTTTACATGGGCACATTCATTTATCTTTACTCAGATATTTATCCTGTTTCATTTTTTTCCTTCTTCAAGTTTCTGTGTGGGATTCTTTTCCTTTTGTCTTCAGAACACTTACTGAACTTTTTAATTCAATACTAATGAATTTTGGCATTTACTGTTTTTGTTAACAAATCAGCTGCCATTCTTTTATCACTGTTGCTTGAAGGTAAAATGTCTTTTCTCCTTATCTACTTTTAAGACTGTTCTCTCTCTGGCTGGTTTTATGCAGTTTTACTATGATGTGTCCTTAGATGTATTTGCTTAGTTTAGGATTATAACCCTTCTTGAATCTATGATTTGTCATTTTTTAATCAACTTGGGAAAATTCCCAGGATATAATCTCTTTGAATATCATTTATTTGTTTTTATCTCTACTCTCCTGAAATCTCAAATATGGGGTGTTAGAACTTTTCATCAAAGCCATATGTATCTTATTCTTTTCACCTCCCACATTGCATTTTCTATCATTTTTCTCAATGCTTGAGTATGATTTTCCTTCTACTTTTTCTTTAAGCTCACTGATTTCCTCATCAGTTATGTCTCATAGCTAGCTGTTACATTCATATATTTAGCTCTTAATTTGTTATGTGATTTCTCATTTCCATTTGATTCATCTTTATAATTTTCATTTCTCTTCTAAAATCTTGTCATTTAAGATTTTATAATTCTGTTCTTTGGATCTACTGTGGGCCTGTGGCTTCTCTTGGATTCCAGTTAATTTTTTTTCCCTTTAAACTCTTGTTTTGATTAAATCCCAGACATTGTGTATGAAAAACTGTAGCGATAACTCGATGCCCAGGATAATGCTATCGTTCTCTTGAAATTTTTACTTTGGTAGAATATCAGATTTGGAGAAGCTCACTTTAGTACAATCTGTAACCAAGCTGATTCAGGCCCAAGCATCAGCCTATGAGAGGGAAGGCCCATTTTTGCTCACCTTTACCGTTAGGATGTAGCCCTTGTAGAGAACAAAACAGAAAATTCTGGGTGTTTATGAGTTTCTCACACTTCAGTGAGCCTGAGCTCCAATTAATTGTCTTTACAACCCAAAAGAATACTGGACGCTCTTCTCAGCTTCTTAATCTCTCATCTGCTGTTTGTGATTCAGAAAATGCATCTGGGAGAAAAGCTATGTCAAAAGCCTGGAATTATCTTGTCTTCAACCCTGGAATCTTGGCTCCTTAAATCTTAGCTTCCTTAAATCCTAGATCTCAGATACCCTCCAACAGATGGTGTTTTAAAATTTTGGCTTGCTTTTGTTGTGTTCTTTCTAAGAACCTAGTCCTTAATTGTTGAAAATGGAAACTTATTTCCATATTTTTAACCACCACCAAAATCAATCAATATATAGCTAACTTGTATTCAACCCCCAGGTAAGTATTTTCAACTGCCTAATAGATATCTCTACTTCAATGTCTCATAATTATCTCAAATTCAATTTATCCAAAACAGAACTTATCATTCAATCCTGCTGTGTCTTCTACATTTTGTATCACTGTAGGTATCACTCAATCCAGGAACTGGGGATTCTTTTTTTTCCTTTATAACTTATGTCTAATCAGTCATCATAGCTAAAATTTACCCTCTTTTTCATTGCTTGTCTGACTCATTGCAATAGTTATCCATTACTCTCTTACACTCCAGCTGTTCTTATCAAATTTATCCTTTCTAATGCATTCCCACCTAATTAATATTTTTTCCTCAAAATAAATCCAAGTCTGTCATTCCCTACTTAAAAACTTAAGGGCTTCCCACTATCTGCAAGATATGGTTCAGTACAATACAGTCATCAGTCCATCAATCTTTGATGATTTGAATTAGCACCTGGCTTCTTACCTCTCCAATTTTCACTTGACCTATTCCTTCCTGTCATTGTGTTTTAATGATATATATTTATTTTAGCTACTGAAATATACTATGATCTTTTTCACATTTTGATTTTTGCATGAGCTAATTTCATTTGAAATGTCTTCCCACCTTCCAGTCTGCTTTGTAAACTAGGATTAATCCCCTGGCTGAGAGGCTGTATCCATCATAAAGCTTTATTCCCTCTCCCTCTTATTTTCCAACAAAAGGATTGTTATCTCCTCTGTGCTACTTCAATTTTTTTCATACTTCTGTTAATATATGTATCACACTGTATCACACAACTGATGAAACCTCTTGAAATTTAAATTATATTGTAATATATAATAATTTTAAAAATTAGTTTATAATTTAAATTTTAAATGTGCTGCTGTTTGTTTATTTCCTACCTTGTCTTTCAAGAGGTTTCATCAGTTGTTACCTAATATTATAAAAAGATTTCATGGGTCTAAGAATTTCAGTGCTTAGCTTATGTCTATCAGTTCAACACATACTGAGTCTTCTGTGTGCCAATGACTATATTAAACTCAGGAGTATCAAAGATTAAGGGACCTCATCACAAAGAGTTTTTGTTTTAGGGAAAGAAACAAAGAGGTAACAAATCAAGACTAGGCAGTGTGATACATATATTAACAGAAGTATGAAAAAAACTAATGATGTATGGTGATTAATATAACATAATAAAATAAAATAAAGGGCAATGAGGACTTTCACATTGGCAGGATATGTATCTCATTTTATAATATAGGAAATAGTTAAAAATAAAAGCCTTTTGAGTCAGCCTAAAAAAAAATAAATAAAAAATAAAATAAAAGAGAGCTACATGAACTCAGTGGCATGATTAATACTGCTGAGCAAGGCTCTCTGAAGTTCTGTTCCCTATTAGAAGAGAGGGGGAATCTGAATTCAGAACAGATTTTTGGGAACTTCTCCTTACTACGGAAAAGCAGCTTGAACAGATGATCCAAGCAATGATAAGAAATAAGAAGCCAGGGAAATGAAAGGGAAGAAAGACAGTAGAGACTTTCAGGGCAGAAAGGAACTTTAATGAGGACAGGAGCAGTCAAAGAAAAACAATGAAGGGATTATGAGTTGGATGCAGGTAGAAGCTAGTTCAGGTAGAAGAACTCATACTGAAATGTACTCTTGTAGGGGCATAAATTATTTAAAGTTTTCCTGAGAATTACATAGTATCGTGCTCCAAGTCTTTATTGCCTGTACTCTAGAGACAATCACAAATCTTTCTTTATGGTCTCTTACAAAAGCTCTATTAGGGAGAGTTGACAGCTTCAGAGTTAGACAGAGTTGACAGGTTCAGAGTACCTAGAAAATAAATTTTTCCTGTAATAATATATTTAAATAGGGGAAAGCTTTCTACTTGGAGCCTACAAAAATATGTGCAGAGAAATTTTTGAATTCCAAGAAGAAAAATCCAACTTGTTTGTATTTTCTTTTGCACAAAATCTGTGGGCTTTGTAGCAGCCTTGTTATACAGATATCATGCCCACATCAGGTATGAGCACCAGGAAAAATCTCACATTTCTAAGGTTTTTAAAAAGTGCTCTCAGCTTCCTCTGTAACAGCTGTGAGAGTATCTTCATTATGATGATGACTCTGAAAAAAAAAATTAACCTCTTATAAGTCATATCATGCTTCCTAAGATCATACATGTAACAAATACTTAGTTTTAAAAAAAATAAAAAGTGCTGATGTTTATAGAATAAAATTTTAAAGTACCATGTGTCCTCTTGGTGTCCCAACTATACTTCAATCCACTTTCTTAATTCCTACTAGACATTCGTAACTTTTTTTTTTTTTAAAGTAGGCTCCACATCCAGTGTGGCACCCAACATGGGGCTTGAACTCACAACCCTGAGATCAAGACCCAACCCCAAATCAACAGTTGGATGTTTAACCAACCGAGCCACCCAGGTGCCCCAGACACTTGTGACTTTTTGGCATACTTCCAAACTTTAACAACAAAAAATTCTTCTTGACTATGAACAGATGCCAGCACCCCAAAGGTTACCTTGTCATGATATTTCCCATTACCCATTTCTTCCTTCCAAAAGTAACTTGTGATTTTGACCTTTAGGTAATTAATCTTTTCTTTTCTTTCCAGTTTTACTAGCTTGCATCTCTCTGTAAACATTATAATTCAGCTTTAGTTTTGCCTGGTTTCAAACTTCATCTGAATGGAATCATAAAGTAGGCATTCTTTGGGTCTGACTTTCTATATTTAACATTATATATGGGAGAGTCATCCATGTTGTTAAGTATAGGTACAGTTCATTTTAATTACTATGTAGAATTTTATTAGAGTAATATACTCAATATATTCACCCATTTGCAGTGTTTCCACTTTGGGACTATTATGAATATATTGGTATTTTCATGGAAGTGTATCTTAGTACATATGTACACATATTTCTGTTGGGTATATACTAAAAACTAAAATTACTGGGACGCCTTGGTGGCTCAGTTGGTTAAGCGTCTGCCTTCAGCTCGGGTCATGATCCCACGGTCCTGGGATCGAGTTCCGCATCAGGCTCCTTGCTCAGCAGGGAGCCTGCTTCTCCCTCTGCCTGCCACTCCTTCTGCTTGTACTTTCTCTCTAGCAAATATATAAAATCTTTAAAAAAATAAAAAATAAATAAAATTACTGATAGGGTATGTGCAACTTTCCATAATGATGCCCCAAAAGTTTTCAAAGCTGTAATAATTTATATTCCAAGTAGGAGGGAGAGGTTTCTTTTATCCATCGGCATTATCATCACTTAGAATTGTACTTTGAAACTTAATCATTCTGTTAGGAAATGAATATCTCAGTGTAGTTTTATTTTAATGTTATTATTGAAATGGTTGGATTTATGCCGAATACCTTGCTATTAGTTTCCTATAGGTCTTGTGTTTTTTTATGTTCCTCCTTTGCCTATTAATACTTTCTGTATATTATCTTAATTTCTTTGTTATCTTACTATATTTTTTGAGTGTTCTTAGTGTCATTAGTCTAGGAATTAGAATGTGCATCTTAATTTATCACAAACTGCTTCAGGTGCGTGCTACTTTAATTCCAGTAAAATATAGAAACTTCGTTCTCATGTAGCTCTATTACTTCCACCTTCCTTTATGCTATTATTGTCATATATATTACACCTACATGTTATATACTCAACAATACAGTGTTTTTAATTTTATAATCTTATCTCTTAAAATTTCAGAGGAAAAAGGAGACAATATATATCTATAGAACAGGGGCTGGCAAACTCTGGAATATGGACCCAATCCGTTTCACTACCTGTTTTGGAAAGTTTAACTGGAACAAAATCATATCCGTTCATTTATATATTGTCTATGGCTGCTTTCATGCTATAAGGTAAAGCTGAGTAGTTGTGACAGATGGAATTAAGGTTGATAATAACATGACTTTAAAATAAAATTATTTTGGACTATCTGGGTGGGCCCAGTGCAATTTATGCAACTGTCTTTTCAATCAGTTAAGAGAAGCACAAAAGGTATATTTATATTGTTTTTTTATAGTCATCTCCAATAATTACCTTTACTGATGGCTCTGTATTTCTTCATGTGTTTTTGAGTTCCATCTGATATCACCTCTTTTTAAAGAACTTCCTTTAGTGTTTCTTGTAAGGCAGTTCTCCCAGCCATGCATTCTCTGTCTGCTCACCTGTGTGTGTCTTTATTTGCCTTCTGTGTTTGAATGTTAGTTAAAGGATACAGAATTCATGCTTGACTGTTTTCCTCCAACACTCTGATGTGCCATCTCATTGCCTTCAGGCCTCTATTGTTTCTGATGAGAAGTCAGCTGTTAATCTCACTGTGGTTCTATTGTACAGGAAATCATTTTTCTCTTGCTGCTTTTAAGATTTTCTCTCTCTTTTTTAGTTCAGTTTGGTTCTCAGGTGTCTAGGAGTGAATCTCTTTGTGATTATTCTAATTGGAGATTATTGAGCTTCTTACATATGCAGAATAATATTTTTCATAAAATTTGGGAAAATTTTGGCCACTATTTCTTCAAGCATTTTTCCTGTTCCCTCATTTTCTGGGATTCTTATACATACGTTGGTGTACTGGATGGTGTCCCAAAGATCTCTGAGGCACTATTAATTTTTCTTCAGTTTCCTGTTGTTCTTCAGATCGGATGATCTATATCATTCTATCATGTTTGCTAATTTTGTCTTCTGTCAGCACAAATCTGCTATTCAGACCCTCTGGTGAGTTTTTCATTTTGGCAACTGTATTTCTACTAGAGAATTTCCATTTAGTTCTTTTTAATAATTAGCATCTCTTTTATTTATATTATTATTTATAAAAAAATTAATAGCTTTATTGAGGTATAACTGATATCCAAAGAACTGTACATATTTAATGGGTGCAATTAGACAAATTTAAATATATGTAAATACCATGATACCATCACCACAATCAAGGTAATAGACATTCATACTCTTATTTGATGAATCATTATCATCATTTTTAATGTTAATGTTAATTAACATGTTCATTTTTTAACATTTTTTCTTTAGTTCTTTAAAGTCTCTGTTTGTGAAGCCCAACATTTGTCATTCTCTTCCTCCAAAAAACTGTAGCTACTGACTGCTTTTTTTCAGGTGTATATGTCACCATTTCCTATTCTTTGCATGTCATATTTTTGTTGTTGTTGAAAAATGGGTATTTTAGACAATATAGTGTAGTGACTCTGGATTCTGATTCCCTTATCTTCCCCCCAGAATGGTTGTTATTACTGCCTTTTGTGACTTGCCTGTACTAATTTTGTGGAGTCTGTGTCCCTTGCAGTGTGTGGCCTTTGATATATCTACTTATGTTTTTCATTTTTTTAAATTCATGTTTTTATTTTTAAGACTGGTTTAATGGGGCTCTCCCCTGGTCAGCATAAGTAGTCAGCCAATGACTGGTCAGAGGCTTTGCTTAAACACCATGTTAAGGGCCACACTGTGTCCCCTTAAAGTTCATATGTTAAAGTCCTAACTCCCAGTGCCTCAGAATGTGACTGTATTTGGAGATAGAGTCCTTAAAACAGTAATGAAGTAATAATAACTCATTAGGGTGGGCTTTAACCCAATCCAAATACTTACTAGTTTTACATGTAAAGATCATTGTTTATAATTTATACATACCTAAATATATATCTATATTTACATAGATATAGATATATATTTATTTGTTAATTGTCTTTCTTCTCCACTGAAGAGGAAACTTCCTGATGTTAGGGATGTTGTCTTGTTAATCATTGCATCCTTAGTGCCTATTATAATGCCTAGTAAATAGTAGGCCCTCCATAAATATTTGTGAAAGAATGAATGAATGTAGATATCTAGTTTCTTTTTTTTTTTTTTCTTGAAAGAGAAAGAGAGAGCACAGCATGCAAGAGTGGGGTGGAGAGGGGCAGAGAAAGAGAGAGAGAGAATCTTAAGCAGGCTCCACACCCAGTGCAGAGCCCTACGCAGGCTTTGATCTCATGACCCTGAGATCATGACCTGATCAGAAATCAAGAGTTGGACGCTTAACCAACTGAGCTACCCAGGTACCCTGATATCTAGTTTTTTTTAAAGCTTGTATAAAATAATCATTCTCATAAACTTTTGTAGTACTGTGTATTATTACAACATTTAGGAATGTTATCAAACTTGTCATTACACTTCTAGGAATCAAATACCTACAGAAATACTAGTCGTACATGTAAAGATCATTGTTTATAATAAAAAAAAAAACTGGAAAAAAACTAAAGACGCAGCAAGAAAAAATGTCAAAATAAATACTAAGGAAAAGTATGATGCTACTAAAAGGTATTGCTTTGTTTTACAATGAAAAGATGTTTATGATAGTTGGGAAAAATCATGTGACAAACAATATGAATATGATCACACAATTAGTAAACAAGAAAACTGTATAGTGTGTGTGTTTGTGTCTTTTTGTTTAGATTTGGATGGGTGGGTATGATGAGGACTACAGTAAGAGGACAATAACTTTTTACTTTTTACTCTATAATTTTACTTTATAGTTTCATGTATTACTTTCATAACTTTATAAACAATAAAAATAAGGGAAAATTTTAAAGGAAATATGGTGACATATTCCATTTTCATGAGTTCTAACATACTGTATTATCTTCTTATAGATTGTATGTGCTAGAAATCAGCATCTCTTGATTTGCCAGAGTAGATAAACACTTACCAAACCAATACAGCCAAAGATTGAGTATGTTAATGCAATAGAAAATTCCAAGGGGTAAGACATCAGTAAAATCCGTGAAACTTCCCTTCCAAGTTTCTGAAACCAGAAAATAGGGAGAAATCTTGCATTATCTTTAATAAGTATAATATAAATATGTTCACAGAAGGAGCTCCTACTATGAGAGTCAAGGAAAATAGGAAAAATAAATAAGCTGCTTTCACCATTCGACTTCCCTAGTCATCTCTACTACTTTGCCTTCCACTCCACTTTTCCTACCCTTAATTCCCCCAGCTCATTATCTTCAGCTTTCACTGGTGGTCTTCATCACTCAGCATTCTTGTCTCACTTCTTACAACTCTTCATTCTCATTATTCTCTTCATGACAGAGTCTCTATCTGTTGGGGTTAATGTAGAGCATGAAATCATCCATAATACCTGGCTTGCTAAAATGTAACACAGAGGCCACTGGGGGTGAGGGAAGGTTTCGGAGAAGGGCGTAGGCCTTTGGAATGCTGAGGCCTGCGTGACCACTCTGCCATAGGGATGCCGTGGGGAGTTGCCTTCCCTGAAGCCTTCTTAGCCCAAACAGCTGCCCTGTGATCTAAGAGGTGTATGCACTGTCCCCTAGGCTATGTTTAGCAGAACTTGTAGAACACGCAGATTAGCATATCATATCATTCCCATAAACAGATCCTCCTAGTTGCAGTAAGACCCCTTGTCACACATCACATGCTTGAGAAACAGTGATCAAGATCTATGATTATCCTGAAGGACCAATAAAAGTGGGAGAATAGAAGGGCAAAGGGTCTTCATCTCTGAGCACTGACCCCCTTGCCTTCTCCTCTCTTTCACAGCGAAGTTTGGAGTCATTGTTCATCCGTTGGTACAGGGATTGCTGGCCATTCCCGGCATCTATCCAAGCTCTTCGGTCAATAAGATTTGACTCTATCTCCAGTGATAAGATAGCTACTAAGGGATTTTATCAAGCAATTCTCATGTATTAAAACAATTGTTACTAATTACAGACTTACTGAAATTTGTATGTGCAGTGATAAAAATCTCACATAGAAATTGCTGTAACATGATGTGGAAGGATGAGTAAATCCTCAAACAACATCTCACTTGGAAGTATGCAGTGATTATGATTTTGATGGGATAATAAAGCAGATCCCTTCTGTTGTGATCAGAAAGATATTTTCAACTACATATCAGGATGAATGATATTGGTCCTAATCCTGAAAATAAATGTAGTTTTTGTGCTGGCTATAGAAAGACAAGAATGATATTCAGACCTGGAAAGAATAACATTACATTCTCTCTCCTTCAATTCTTTCTCTTCCACCTTTTCCGTTTTTGGGTTTATTTAATATCTTTTATGCAAGAAACTATTAGGTGGTAGGGAGTAGACAGTAAGAATGAAATGACAAAAAATTCCTGCTTTCTCAAGGTTTATATTCAAGTAGAAAAGACAGAAAGATAATATAAGGTAACATATAATAAGGTTAAATATGTCAGAATGGATAAAAACTTGCTCAGGAATTTTAGGGGACAGGAGGTTTGCCCTAAGCCATTCATATCCAGGAAGGCTTCATAATGAGGTAAGACATTGTAAATAAGAGTAAGATTGAGAAAAATGGAGGGAAGCAACATTCTAAGCAGCTTTAAATTTTCATTTACTAGTTTTTTTGTAACTTATCTTGCTCCAGAAAAAAATGTAATAGCATAAATTAAAAGTGTGACAAAATAATTAAGAAATGGAGACATAAAATAGAAACAATAATAAAGTTAAAATACATATCACATGACCTGTGGTTTGATAATGTGAAGAAAAAAATGAATGCAAGAATGAACATGTAAGAAAATGATAAAGCGAGTTTAACTCAGGTATAGGGAGTATATGATAGTACCAGGAGGATAAAGAAAAGGCTATAGGGGGTGTGAAATATCAAGTTACCTTATCAGAATTCTGATAAGGTAATTGTGTTTCTGCCAATTTTGTTGGCAGAAACACAATTGTAGCATTTTAGCTGAGAAGTACTGGTGACCTCTTTGTTGCCAAGATTGTAAAAAGTCATTTTGTCCACATTCCTTAACTTGTATTTGTTAGTGTTATTCTCAAATTCTGCCCCTGAAAATAGCAAGGTATCTGTCAGAGAAGTTCAAAGAGGCAAACAACGGAGAGAGTGACTGAGTTCTCGACAGGCGATTTAAGCCTTTGAGTCCAGCACAAGCCCGTTTCTTGCTTAAGTCAATTTGGGTTGTATTTCCCATCACTTACAACTAAGAGAGTCCTAGTTAATAAAAATTAAAGTGAATAATAAGCAAGCAATAATTGGTAATTGGGAGATAGTGGAGAGAAGGGTGAAGGATTACATCAAGGTTTTCAGCTTTAGAGGCTGAAATAAGGGAGTCTTGCAGCACTGTACTTTTGAGGAGGCAAACTTTTCCCATTTTATATCTGTTGAATTTGAGATGGTGACAACAGAAGCATATCGAAGTGGAAACATCAAGCTGGCCATTAGAAGAACAGGCCCGGAGTCTGGGAGGCAAACAGTTTCACAGGTACGTGTTGGCACTTTCTCTACTGACACATAAAGAAACTCAGGAATAGGGAAGTTGAGAAACTTGTCCACAGGGTCACATTCAGTGAGTCCTGAAGACAGTGTTTGAACAAAGTCAGTCTGGTTCTGGATTTAGAATATCAACCATTTTGCTCTAAGATAAGTATGTTTCAGAGGCATGCACTTTTTGGGATAGCTGAACCTACCTGGGAACACTGATAACTTGATGAGTTTGTGGGTTTAGCCAAGCAGCTTGCTTATATTAGAAAAGCTGGCATTTGGAAAATCTTGTAAAATGTTGGCTGCCTTAGTAAATGTAGAACAGGATTCTATAATCCCTCTAAGAGAAGATTGTGGGTTAGAGCTGTAGGTCTAATATATAAGTTCATTCATGTAATTAATCACCACAAACAAAACTGAAACTTGTGCATTTGGGAGACTGTGAAATTGATCGTTAATACTGAGTTCAGATAAATACAGTCTACAGTGGTTTGTAATACTGTTTGCAAAAGGAGAGTCCTGGAAATTATGCCATTATTATCTTAAACTGATGATTATAAGCTTATGAATAAGAGTGGTCAGCTCAATATAATTTGGAACAATCCTCCACTTAATAACCTAATTCTTCTTCCTTATCTCTGCTGCCAAAATTAGAACTGAAGATTCCCAGAATGAATTTCCAGGGAAAATGGAGAATTTTCTTACAGTGTATAGGGAAAATCTGATGCATACTTATTTAGATCAATCCATCATTCATTACACACAATCCCTTTTGGGGTACTATTGCATCTTCTCTCATCCTTTCATTGTCCTCTAGGCTTTTGTTCTTCATGCTTGGATTCCTTCGACTGATGGCCCCTTTACAATATAGTGCAGGTATAGAGAGAGGAAAGTTGAGGAAGGGGGAGCAGGAAGATTATGCCTCATCTACAATGAGTCTTCTCATTAGAATTATTTTTGAATTAAAACTTTCAAGTTGCTATTTTTTGTTTTGTTGTTCAACAATAAAGAGGAGCTCTACTCTAATGTATTCTCATTTGAATGTCCTTTGCAGCACTAATATTCTGTAATTCTGAATTTAAAGCCAACACAATTGAAATAAATCAGTTGTGATATCAGTAAAGACAGTCACATTTACTGGAGAATGTTACTATCTTAAGAAGAAATACAGTTACTTCTCTGGTACAAAGTATGTGATTGGATATTTAATTAAATGGAAACAAGACAGGTTCACGCACATGTAGCATTTGAACACATAAAACAAAATTCATGTGAGACACAAAAATAAGCTGTGTATGGGGGTGCCTGGGTGGCTCAGTTGGTTGAGCATCCAACTCTTGCTTTTGGTTCAGGGTCATGATCTTAGGGTCTTGGGATGGAGTCCCACATTGGGCTCCATGATCAATGGGGAGTCTGCTTGAGGACATTCTCTCTCCCTCTCCCTCTGCCTCTCCCCCTACTTGCGCTCTCTCTCTCTTTCTAAAATAAATAAATAAATCTTTAAAAAAATAGGCTGTGTATGAAAAGCTCTGTGTTAAACCAGAAATTACCAGGTGTCTACAATTCCAAATATATGCATCAGTAACAGAATTCTTTTGTTGATTTTGGGAATGGTTTTAGGGTCTAGGATCATACATTTATTTCATTAAGAGAATCATCAGTGACCCCATGCCTAATGCATATACATTTATCACTGAAGTCTTCACATTATCTACTTGCTTTATTTCAATTGGGCATGTCAGGAATTCAAACATTCTATTAATATTTACCAAAAAATCATGTTAGAATTACTTCTGGGGGCGCCTGGGTGGCTCAGTTGGTTAAGCAACTGCCTTCGGCTCAGGTCATGATCCCGGAGTCCCGGGATCGAGTCCTACATCAGGCTTCCTGCTCAGCAGGGAGTCTGCTTCTCCCTCTGACCCTCCTCCCTCTCATGCTCTCTGTCTCTCATTCTCTCTCTCACAAATAAATTAAAAAAAAAAAAATTACTTCTGAATTGAAACTTTCAATCAAGAGCTTACTACTTAAAGCAAAGAATTTCTTGAAGACTAATAAAAGTCTTATTTTACCTCCAAAGGCTTTAAAACCTTGGAAGAGAATTGTTTGAATGGTCACTTACTGCTTGTCCATAATTCCTATATGACACGGAATTAAAAGAAGACAACTCAATTGTTGTTAGAATTGATGCAATAACTGCAACAATTATGCAGAAGATGTTCATGATCAAAGCAAATGTAATCTGAAAAGAAGATACATGGTAAGCTTGTTATATTCTGAATAAACAGTTTGTATTGCTGAAAAAAAAATCATTTCGTCAAAACTCTGATCTAGTTTCTGAAGCTTTAGAGGTGCTGGAATGTTTGCCATTAGAATAAAATATTTTCCTGGTTTACATGAAACCCAGTTAATCTGGAGGGACCAGTGAAATATCACATCAGTAAGCATCAATCTTCCATTTGGGCAAAAAAATGTATTTTACAATCTTCTGAGTCATATGGAAGAAAGATTGTTAAGATGGGATTTGAACAAAAGGAGATCCACTGTAAAATGGAAAAAGAAAAAAAAAGATGGAAAATGACTGCTTGTAGAAACAAGCCAAATAAGATTCAATGATTTTTAATCCAGGATTTTCATTCTCTAGGGAAATCCATCAATATCTTTGGATATGTTTTTATCTGTACAATTGTGAGATCAGACTCATTGATTTCTTAGCTCTAAGAGTCTAAGATTTTTTTCTTTCCAATATCTTATCTATACCATAGATGGATCTTCTGGACAGATCCTTTATCTTATAAGATATAATCCTGTTCCCAAACTAGGTAGTTAGGAAAATGAAGTTTTACAGTAATATTTTATCTATATATAAAGGCATTATTAGGTCCTATTAAATTTTTTCACTAGTAAAGTTCATACAATGTTAAAATAAGGTAGAATACCAAACAAAAAAACCCCTGTATTTAAATTTAGAACTTTTACATAATGATTCTAATTAATATAGAAAGTTTGTCTACATTAAGTTATGTGCTCCTAGGGGCGGCTGGGTGGCTCAGTTGGTTAAGCAACTGCCTTCGGCTCAGGTCATGATCCTGGAGTCCCAGGATCGAGTCCCGCATCGGGCTCCCTGTTCAGCAGGGAGTCTGCTTCTCCCTCTGACTCTCCCCCCTCTCATGCTCTCTCTAGCTCATTCTCTCTCTCAAATAAATAAATAAAATCTTTTAAAAAAAAAAGTTATGTGCTCCTAGATTTTCACTTAATTATTTTAAAAGTAGGGTAGATGCCTTCATTGCTTAGGTACTCACTAAAACCTACTTAGCTTTGTGACAAGTGATTTCTAGGATACCTGAAGCATCTCCACTTACCAGGCCTTGAGTTGGATGCCTTACTACTCTTATTATGGAGACTCCTGCAATGATAAACTGGATATAAAAACATATTTATAAATACTCATTGATAATGCTCATAAACTTAAGATGTATTTTTAACAACTCCCTCTTCCAGGTCAGTTATTTTTAGAATACCAAGAGTAACAAAATATAAAGAAGTTTCAGTAGAAGGGGTCAGGACAAGTTTCCATCATATAGTCATGAACTGAAAGCTAATAGCTGGGTCCCTAATCACAGAAACATAGGGGACAGTGGGCAGAATTCAGCTTGTGGTATATACCAAAGATGACTTAAAGAGTCCTGAATCAGGGGCCAAGTTTGCTTATATCTGTGCATGCTTTTTGAACTCATTTGATTATCATTTCAAATGCTATCCTTCCTAATAAAATGAAGCCATTGATTGCAATTTTTGTATACATATCCAAATGTGAAAAAAGTGGTTCATGAGTCTATTCCAAATTGTGTTTGTACAAAATATATCTCTTGAGACTGTGGCCATTATTAAAGTAATAACTGTAATTCATGTTTTTGCGTTTTTTTAAAAGAGTTTCCATTATTTCACACCAGGTTACTTTGTCTATTTCCCAGAAGTGTAAAGTTATGCCATATTGTTTGAAGGTGAGCTGCATACTTCCCTTGGAACATTCCTTTTGCCTTATCTGTTTTAGCGGATTTTCCAAAGATCTAAGTCAAATGATAATCTGTGGAAAAACAGCACTCATGCTATACCATTTATAGGAAGGCCAAACCTTAAAGCTTACTAACTCCTCCAGGATAACTTAAATTTACACACACAGCACTTCATTCTATAATAAAAGCTGAGATTTCTAAGGAGGTACACAGTGAAAGGAAGAACATAAAGTTGAATTATAAACTGGAGTGCGCTGTAGCTAGATTACCAAACCATGTGCTTCACAAAATGCCTTTCAAAGTTTATGGCAGTTTTGCATTGGATTAAATTTAACTGAAATTTTAGATAATTTATTCTAGGAGCTACACATGCTATTTTTATAACATGTACAATTAAACACTGAGGGACATGAATCATTATCTGGATTTTGTCTGCAAATTCACTATTGTTTTCTAAAGCAATGCTCTGACAATTGTGAGCCAATGTATAAAGGCAGAGGATCTCCTAGGGGCCACTGCTTTCTCTGTAGCCCTCTCAAGTGGTGGCCATTTTCTCTCCTAGCCCTTATACCTTTCCTCTCCTCCAGCTTTGAATCAAATGTCATCAGATTCTATCACCACTATCCAGCCTGGTTGAAGTCATCAACTGATGACTTGGTCACTCTAGTCTTGGTGATTTTAATTTCTGTCTCACTCTCTCTCTAACACCTCTTAAACCTTGGTGTGATTGTGATCCTTCTAATACCTGGGTCTTCTGTTTCTTTGAATTTCTCTTCTCTAATCCTCTGACCCCATCCTAGCTCAGTCACTCACTCCCATATTCATTCTCTTGTGCTTCTTTCTGCCAATAAGGATGACATCTTTCAAATCTCATTTCCAAGTATCCCACTATGACCACCAGCTTCTATCTTTCTACATCATGTCCTGTAGTATCACAACTTTAACAGTTCTTTGAACCCATCTGGATCTATAATCAAGCCCCTCACCTCTCTGTTATATTCTCTACTTTACCAGCTTAAATTTCATGGTTAACTATTACATTCACTTATATACACTTTCAACTCCTTTGCACTGTTCTTGTTTGATCACAGATGCATGGTTAAACCCAAATCCTGATTAAATGCAGTTCTGCTTCTCACTGAATGCCTGAACCCATGCAGCCAAACAGGACTTGAGAAAGACACACAACCATCTTGACCCATATCTCACTACACACATTCTGTTCCTAAAGCTTAAGTGAGCTCTTAATCTTAGTGAAAGTCTAACTACTTTTCCACAATGCACACACTCTCTTTTTCTAGGTGACTATTTCATAGCCTCTCTTCAAACAACCAATTCATTATTCCATTCTCCTTCTCAGCTCATGATCTGGCTTCTTAATTCACTGAGGTATTTGAAACCATTGGAAGAAAAGTTCTACAAGCTCCCAATATCCCATCTACCTACCTATCAAAATTTGTCCTTTCTCTGTTTCTCCACCTTTCCATCCTGTTACCCACCTTGGATAATTCTTTCTTATGAGGGCTATCCTATACTTTGTAGGATATTTAACCATATCCTTGGCTTCGGCCTACTGGATGCCTACCCTAGCTGTGAAAACCAAAAATGTCTCCAGGCATCACCAAATGTCCTCTGAGGGGCAAAACCACCTCTAATTGAGATCCACTGCTAGAGATGAACTGTCCATGAACCTAAGTATTTGTGTATTAAAATTCATCACCTCTTGCCTACCCCAGTACAGGATTCTAATAATTCCTCCTTCCCTCCATTTATTTCATATTGATTTTCCCTCTTCTGGCTCAGTCCCCTCAGTAAAAGACATGATACTTCCAACTTACTGAAACAAATAAGCAAACCTTGTCTTGATCCAAACTTCCTCCCACTACTACTTCATTTCTCAATGCCATATTACACCAGAGTCCTTAAAGGAGTTTTATTTGCTGTCTCTATAGTCTTCTCCTCCCATTATTTCTTAAACCAACTCCAGTCAGGTTTTGCTTCACCATTCCACTGAAACTACTTGTCAAGTTTATTGCTAACTCCAATGGTCAATTCTCAGCCTTATTTGGCAAAATAACAGAATTTAATATAGTTTATCTTTCCCTATTTGTTCACTCAGCTTTGAGGATGCCATACTTTTCAAATTTTCCTACTAACTTATGGCTGTCTAGAAACCACAGAAGAATGCAGGTAATGACAAATTTAGAAAATGTGTGAGTAGGCACATTGTGTGAAGAAGGTAAGGATCCTAAATATGAAAATTAACCATGCTAATGGATATTATGGTTAAGATTCTTTGTCTTTCACATATCTAAAGACAATCCAACCTATGGTTGTCATTGTGTATTCCCTCCTGTATCCACATTTCTTGTAACAGCACTGGTAAGTTAAAGGTACTAAAAAAACATGTGTTGAAAAAAAGAATTTGATTTTGAATAAATTACCAACATGGGATTTACTTAACTGTTCCCTATCTTCCACTAGTGGCATGAATAGTATTTATTGAATGATTAAATCATATAAATATATTCTACTCACAATAATTCCCCATAAAGCACATCCTGTTTTGTAAGTTATAGGTTCATATGTCCCAAAGACTCCTCTAATTTGTCCCATATACAAAATCAATAGGAAATACCACATGAAAACATGAAATATGCCAATCATAATCTGGAGAGCCTGTGAGAAGAAAATGATATTAGTACCCAAACCATGTAATTTATAACATTATTCCAGTAAGTGTTAACTATAAGAAATATTCAATACTTTTATGAAAGATAAAAGGTAAATAGCAATGCACTTACCATGTATTTTCTGGACTGGTTAGCCCCAAAGGAAAGCCCTAACCAGGAAGTACTGAGGTTTACCAAATAGGAGTCAACCATTCGTGGAGCATCAGACTGTTCAATAATAATTCTAGTCAATTCTCCCATAAAATAGTTGACAATCTGACTCTTAATACTGGCTATCTTCCCTACCTATCAAGTAATGGCATGAAAGGAGAATACTGAAGGTATTTGGGGGGAAATATGGTTACTAATCTATATGGATGCAGGAAACCATGTATCCAATATATTCTTGTATATTAGTAATTATTAAGGTTGAACTACTTTTTGCATCTTTTTGAAGGTTTACCTCTGCCTTCAAGGTATATTTGGTATGTATCTTTATCACAAGCATGCTGGTGTGAGGTACAGTTCAACACAGAGATACAAAGAATATCCAATGTAGACTTGCTTGTACAAGGTCTTCCTATTGGATAGGGGATGAGTTGGTGGAGGGGTGAATTATTACCCAACTTTAATTTGTAAGAAGATAATTATAATCCAAGTAAATATGTGCCAGTAAATTTATTTCTCAATTTATATGTGGACTAATATTTCATATACTGAATCACATTTTTAATTACTGTTTAAAAATTTCAGAGGATTGGGGCACCTGGCTGGCTCAGTTGGTAAAGCATGTGATGCTTGATCTCAGGGTCATGAGTTCAAGCCCCATGTCGGGTGTGGAGCCTACTTAATAAAAAAAAAAAAAAAAAAGTAAAAATTTCAGAGGATACACTATTTTTACTTAATATAAACTTTAATAGAAAGCTATTTAATGCTTTAACTTTAATAGTTCCAGCTCTTTGTAAAGTAGTCTAAAAACACATAAATGCAACCAGCTAATATTAAAGATACATTTTAGAGAATTCTCTTTTATTATAGAAAGACGACTTTTTCAGTAACAATCTTATGCATTTTTATAGATTTAGAATTTTAGATTTCCTCTGCATCGAATTTGGAAAAACGGCATTATCTTCAGAGATTCTTTGGATTTGATTGGGAGAAAATCCTCTACTAGATAGCAAAATCCTTGAGAGCCTGGACTTTAGTTATCTCACTGTTGTCACCAGCCTCTAAAAGTGGGGACCCAGTAAATATCTCTTGAATAAGCACATCAGAATGAAGGACATTAATCCCACATGACTTTTCTAACTCTTAAGTGAGCCTGAAAAATAGTGTCTCCCTTTATAATTGGCGGTTGTCCTATATAATACTATGAAATATCCAAGTAAACAAAGCTTGAAAAGAACTCTATAAGAAAGCAAGGTTGCTAGTGTGTGGAGAAGAACAAGATGGGTTTTCTTATTTAAAAATCGTTCTTAATCTCGAGCCAATGAATGGCATTTCAGGAGGTCATAGGCCTCTTCTCCACACACAAAAATATGAGTGCAAAGGATTACAATATATACATGAAGCTGGGGAGAAGATCCAGAGCTTTCTTCCTATGTCTGAAGGGGTCTGTGACTCCAAAGAGATTAAGAACCTCTGCTGAACAGTCAGGTGGGAGACAATCTACACAGCGGCCAAGTTCAAAGGAAAAGTTCACATCCGGTGGAAAAGTTCCTTTTCTTTCAGATGTGAAAGAGCATGATCTTCAAAATTCCTTGGTGTTTATTAAGAGATAGCTAAGCTCTCTGTTTATAATTGAAGAGACAAATTAATAATCATTAAATTACACAGACATCAATACAGTAATTGAAAGAGATCAGCAAGAGATCTCTCTCCCAGTTTAAAAAAAATACTTCTTTTTCTTTTATTCCTTTTTGGGATTTATCTACTACCCTATGTATGTTGGTTTAGTCAGTATGCTCCTATCTGAGCGCATATTTGTGTATGAAGAGACATGAGATCAGTTAAAATTTGTAGAAGGCAATCAGTATTTAAAAAAAACATTTTTTGGGTGAAGGGGAGTGGGAGATACAGGGAGATTCCAGTTATGGAATGAATAAGTCATAGAAATAAAAGCTACAGCAAAAGGAATACAGTCAATGATCTTGTTATAGCATTGTATGGTGATAGATGGTAGCTACGTTTGTGATGAGCACAGCATAATGTATAAAGATGTCGAATCACTATGTTGTATACCTGAAACTGAGGTAACATTGTGTGTCAACTATACTCAAAAAATTTTTTTAAACCCATTTTTGACTTAACCAAGTATGCCCCTCTCCAGATTCAAGAATAATCCTCAGTAAATTGAAATATTCCTGAATTTAGTCAAAGTGAAGTCTTACTTACCCCTAAAACAAGACTATCTGCTGTAGAGATTTTTGAACACATACACGGAGCCATACTACCAGCATTTCCTCTAGATGATTATGCTTCTAATCTTTGGTGATATTTTTATTAGCAAACTTCTACAAAACAATACAAAACAAGTATACACACTTTGCTCAAAAGAAAATACATAAGTTTGATTGTTTCCCTACTGTTTTACAACTACCTCCCCAAACTCTGAAGCAATTGCTTTCTTCTTTCTGTGCCTAATTTTGTAAAGGCATCAGCTTGCATCTACCTGTTCTGAATAATGGCCTCCATAAGTGAAAACCCTCTCTCTACGGCTAAAAGGTACAGGCATATTACAGTTATTTTCTCTGAGTAGTAAACAGTGGCTCTGGATGATAAAGTATGAACACTTAGGGAACAGTGTTAGAGAATTTTCAGTAAAGCTTTTAACAACTTCCTTGCAATTCATAATCAGTTCAATGCAATTCATAATGCCATGTTTGCATTTCAAAACCAAGTTCTTGTACTTAAATTCATCATGGGCTCGTGATTTTTTTTTTTCTGTCACATACTTGCTATCTAGTTCTTCTTTATGTGAAAGAACTTTTTCTGCCATCAGACAACTTACCAAAGTTGCTTCCACAATCCTAAAGTCTTCTCCTAGGGGTTCTTTTGTTGTTATCCGCCCCCTCCCCATTATTCCTGCATTTCTGGTGTTCAGAAAACCTGGCTAATAGCTATTAACTATATCCTTTGTGGATATGACATTACACTGTTCTACATCTTCTAACAGATCTTACTTAGGTCAGTAACATGAATCATGCCACTTAGCCAGGTGATCATCTAATGGATGATATTAAACCCTGAATCTCGGTCCTTTCGAAAGGAGGGTTTGAGTAAATGACTTCTCATTCCCTATACCCTTGAAATCTCATGATTTGATTATTTTAATGCATCTTTGGTTTCTAAAATTGATTTTTGGTTTCTAAAATTGATTATCTCTTAATTCTATAAAGTACAGAGACAGAAAAAAGCTAGGTAAGAATACAAGAGCTATTGACAGTAGAGAAAACAATATGTTAATAACTTAAGTATAAATAATAAGTTTCATATATTAAACAGCACCTTTGAGAAATGCCAAAGAAAGGGTACAGGCCTAAAGGCACCCAAGATTAAGATTAATCATTCTGTTATGCTTAAATAAAAGACATAGAATTACAGAATTCATATATAAAGTAATGAGGAAGTTATATCTAGATTGCTATTGTCACTTTTGAGAAAAAAGGAAAATAATAAAAAATAATTAGCCCTTTTTTATATGTATAAAAATTCTCACAGTTGATAGTGGAAACACCATGAGTGACTTGGGGAGAATATTTAGCATCACTATAGTGTCCATCAGGCCCCCACCAAAACCATCCCAGGTGAAGTACCAAGAAAAAATAGGTTGCACATGTGTTTAAAATTCTTTAGCTTAATTGATGGAAGAAAATAAGAAATTCTACAATATTGTTTCTGGAATAAATGATGGTCAGAATTTTTTAGAAAAACATTCTACAATACTCTATAACCCAGTTAAGTATCTCATTTTTGTAAAAAAAGAAAAAAAAAATAAATTAAAAATAAAAATTAATAATTTGTTTTTATTTTCTGGTGATCTCATCACTAATCCAAAGAGCAGCTGCAGAACAAGCCCTTAGCCCTTATTCCCAACCCTGTCCTCATCCCCTACACTTGCCTTAAAGACAGGAATTCTGGAACAGTCACAGAGAGCTTACTACGTCTAGAAGCCACTTCTCCATCTTTGGCAGAGATGCGACTCCTGTCTTCAGAATGAAGTTCAAACTCTGGCAGGGCCGGTAAAGCCCTTCATGAGCCCTGCCCACTTTCTCGGCCTCATCCAGCCCCTCCCTGGGTTTCTGCCCTAAAGGCTCCAGCAGCAACCTTCTTTGGGAAGCCTTCCCTGCCCCAGTCTGTCAGTACTCCTCTCCCTGCTCCCCTACATCACAGTGTTGTCTAACTCTGGATGATCAGGACTGGCTCCCAAGGCAGTGTGAGCTCCCGGAAGCCGAGGAATTCATTTCTCCATGTCCCGGGCCAGTCCTGGGCTGCGACCGAGGGGCTCCCACTTGATGAAGCGGACTGGGCTGGGCGCACAGGGGGTGGCTGAGGTCCAGGGTCTGCACAAGGATGGACCGGGCAGGAGAGGGAAGGTGGGGGGCACCGAATTCTATCTCCGCGCCCCCTTTTCAGCTTTCAACACTTAAGAAATACTGTAAGCAAAGCGACATCATTACCCTTCATTTTACTTGTTCAAGGTCCTAAGGATCGAGTTTCGCCCTCTTGGGTCCAGGCCCAGGCTAAGGGGGCGGAGTCCCGGCGTGGGCCGGTCTCCTTGCCCAGGAGCGCTCCTCCAGCACCCGGTCCAGGTCCTACCGCCAGTGCCCAGGCCCAGATCAAGAGGCAGATGTCAGCGGGCGGCGCCCTCAGGGCCAGGTTCCCAGACGCTGCCGGGCAAGCATCACTGAAGCAGCAAGGAGCCCAGGACCCAGCAGGCCCTCAGGCTCCTCGGGCCACGCGGGCCTCCAACGGCAGCAGCGACGGCGCTGTCCTCGTGCGCCTGCGCACCCCCTCCTGGTACGGGGCGGGGGCGGGGAAGGCCGTGTGCGCAGACTCACTAGGGCTTTGCGGACCACGTGGTCAGACTCGCGGGAACTACGGCTGGGTGTCTGGAGAAATGGCTTCTCCAAACATCTATTTCTGATAGTGGCCCTTCTGGTGCATTCGCTGCAGAGCGACTAGGATCACTGATGAAAAGTCAGCCCCTCACCTTCTCTGTCCTCAGAGGAAAATTGTCGCGCAAATGCATTTTAGGAGGTGTAAATATTGAAAAAGGCAGTTGAGTCAGTGACTACCCTCCACCTATTTTTTTTTTTTTAAAGCGTTAGAAGCCGAAGAAGGAAATTAATGAAGAGACTGTTTGGCAAGACACCAGAATGACTTTTTCATCCACCTGCTGAGGTGAGTTTACGTTTCAGTTTATACCTGGCATCAGTTTTCTATTTGATGGGGAGGGTCGTTAAAACAGTGTGTGTGAAAAGATGTGTAAAGAAGTAGAGGTAGCAGCTGGAAGATACAGAAGGGTCCGATGTGGTAGATGAGGAAGTCGGGGGGTGAACCTCAAGCAAAAACTGTGATCTTAGTTTAACTGGCAAGTACGGGTACCCCTGTTACGCAACTCTCAGGACGTACTGAGGCAGTAAAGTCCCTGGAGAGCAGACATTCCTGCAGCTACTGAATGTTAATGAAGTCTCGTTTGTTCCAGGAAAATTTTGATTGGCATTTTGGGAAAATTGAAATTCAAGCTTGTGCTGTAAGTATTTAGTAAGACATAAATAATAGTAAAACATTAGGGAATAGAGTCTGATTTTTCTTTTATAACGAAATTGCCTAAATGATACTAACACCTTTTTTTATCTTTTATTTTTTTGCCAAAGCCAAATTACAATTATATCTTAAAGCCACCGAGATTTTTTATGATCATTTATAGTTCGAAAATCAGTTATAAACTCAATAACTTTATTATTAGCCTCATGGCTAGCTTCCTTATACATTGTGACTGTGCAGCCCCCTCAATTCAAAGAAAAAAAATATGTCCAGGATGTTCTAATGCCTTTACATTTTGTTTTGGTCATTGTATCACTGAGGATATGAGTTTTAGTTGTAAGTGATAAAACAGTTTAGTTTCTGACATTAGGATTGTTCTTTTCTGCTTTACCTGTCTGTGAGCAGAGAGTAATCTGACAATACTAAGCATTCTGTGTGCTGTAGAAGAACTCACTTGAATGTGTTTTCAATGTCAAGATTATGGAATTAGTAGAAATGAGAGTCAGTTCTGATGAGATGACTCCCTATTGTAACTTGCTACCCTGACTGATTTTGAGAGAAGAGAGCTATCTTTTCCTTTCATCTAAGGTTTACCCAACAGTCTTTGGAAATTACCTTGGATTTGATGATTTTCTTGGATGGGGACCAAATATGTATTTGTATTTGTTCAGTGAATACAAATACATATTCATATATATTCAGTATGAACATAGACAAGAATAGATGATAAGTCAAACTGTGGGATAGGCAAAGTTCCTTGGCACTTCTTAATTCCTTTGATAATATTACAGATCAATCAACCAGTTTTGCTTTTCTCTATCCCTATAAACTGGGTTTAGAAATTTAGAATTAATTTCATTCTAATTTTTGTAACTTGGTTTTCAAAACTGCTTCCTTCAACAATGGAGAGGCAGTCAGTCATGGTATGACATCCAATATAACTTACTTTTTTTTTTTTTTACTTTTACTTTTTGTCATTTAAAATATTTTTCCATGCAGGTTATGTTGTTACTTTCCCTTGACTTGGTTCTAAGAACAACAAAGACATTATGAGGATAACAAAGACATTACTAGGAAATGTGCTGAGACCACTATGTTTGATATAATCAATGTTGTTAAGACCATCGTTGGGGGATCATTATAAGGATTCCATCGGCTATAAGCCCGCATAAAATATTTTGTCCAAATTGCTGTGAGGAATTGCATTTTACTTATGCACAGGACAAAACAGATACTTCCTCTGTGTAAACATGTTATTCTAGTAAGAAAAATGGAAATAAATCTGTATAACACTGGGGAAACTTAGCAATTGAGTTTATTGTAGGTGTGCAATATGTGTATATTTATATAAAATATAGTATATATGTATATGGATACACATACTTGAACACACACATGTATGTAGTAGATACTCATTTTCATATAGTTAGCGTTATTACATTACTTTAAGGAAATGCTAATTAATAGTTTAAAAATTATTTTGCCCCCCCTTTTTTTGCATTTACTGTGTCCAGGCAATATGTTATGTGCTTTACTTTAAAGATAAACCCAGATACATCAAAAATTTGAAGAGTTTGAGCAAACATTGACTCGAATTGGGCAACACCAAATTGAAAATGGTTGGGAACACCTCATCAGCAGGAGCTAGGGGAAAGGTTTTTATCTAGAAGATATGGAAG